GAGAGAGAGAGAGAGAGAGAGAGGGGGGGGGGAGAGAGAGAAAAAGAGAGAGAGAGAGAGAGTGTGGTGTTTATTGATTTCCTGTACAACAGGAAATCAATGTACAACGCATTAACTCCTATGGATACAAGGTGTCACGTAGCTATCAGGTGTTTCACTCGCCACGAATTCGCCTCTGCTTCTAGCGAAATCGATCGGATTTCTACGACGGACGTTTCCCTTGTGAGAACGCCGAGGAGATCGTGCACGTTCTTTACAAATTTTCCAACATTATTACCTTCAATCAGGAACTCCGAATTAAAATTCGATTTGAAGCTTGCAATTCTTCAATAACTGCGGCAATAACAGCTAACTGAGTAGTTAATACCTCTTTAATTACTTGTATCATTGATTTTTCGGTAATTTTCACATGTTATGCTCGTATTCAAATGTTTCATGCGTTACGATTGTATAGCAGGACTTTCAACGAGACAACAGAGTTTTAATCTGAAGCTTTGTACTATTACTTGTCTCCATCTCTGTTAGAAGAATATGGAAACGGAATAGCTGTACGCAGCAGAGGTTGCGTCCAGCATTCAGTCAGACTTTGTATTCGAGAGTCATCTCAAGTACTTACGAGCTCGAGACGTTGTACGGTCGTTTCACTAACTAGTTAGTCTTGAAACCGTTCGTGACACTCCTTGTTCAGTAACTCTTGACGGCAGCGTTATCGTTAGTTTGTTCGTCGCAATCCTCTTGCCATATATTATGCTCACGCAACGACAACGTCATGATAGCGACGCCTGTTGCGGTTACAGAACAGCAGCGCTGATCCGTCAAGGTGTACAATAGCAAGGCTGATGGCAAAGAACGATCCGTAAACGCCCGGTGTCACCAACGTTGTTTAACTTTAAGCTTGGCTTAATTCGTTCTTTGCCACTTGTCAACTGTTACTTTAGAAAGAGAGAAACGTGAATTAAACTAAGATTGAAGTTAAACGATGTGTGGTGAAACCGGGCCTCAGTCTGTCTTATACCCGTTTTTACTACCAGTTTAACTTTAATCTCAGTTCAGCTTACTTTGAATCTTTTTTCTAGTTTTACGAATTGGAAAAAGACAAGAAGTAATTTAAGCCGAGATTGAAGTTAATCTGCATTGGTAGAAACGGGCATTAGCCGTATACAATAGACTTTCGCGACTTAAGTTTTCCTCTGCCTTGCCTTACGTCTTCGACTAAGACAGACTAAGGTCCACTTTCGCCAACGTTGTTTAACTTTAAGCATGGCTTAATTCGTTGTTGTCTCTTTTCAACTGTTACTTTAGAAAGAGACAGACATGAATTAAACCAAGATTGAAGTTAAGCGACATTTGATGAAATCGGGCCTTAGGCCTAAGGTCGCGTAACTTTAAACTTAGCTTAATTAGTTCTCTGTTTCTTTTAGATTCTTACTTTCGAAAGAGACAAACGTGAATTAAACCAAGATGAAAGTTAAACGACGCTTGGTGAAATCGGGCCTTAAACGGACCCTTCTCTGCCAGCCTAAGGGCCAGTTTCACAAACCTCGGTTAACTGCTAACCGAAGGTTAATTGATTCTCTGTCTCTTCTTAAATAATAAAATGGAAAAGGAGTCGACAGAAGCCTAGTTAACAGTTAACCGATGTTTGTGAAACTGGCCCTAAGCCATAGATAGACATATTAACCATGGATTGCTTATGAGACAGTGGGAACATCCTCCCGAGGGAAAAGGAAAGTGTGTAAATTTATTTGGGCGGTCTAGCTTTCTCTGATTCTCGTTACTCACGTCCACTAGAGAAAGATAGACACCCAAATAAATTCCCACTATCCTTTTCCCTCGGGAGGATGCCCCCACTTAGGGCTCCACTGCCTCATAAGTAGTCTACAGTTAATATGTCCATGTAGTAATCCTGTCACTCCAAACTTCGAGCTGTAACATGGGCTGCGTTCAGCAGGAAAAGCAGTTCCGCTTAATGATTCATTAGGTCTGTTTCTCTACAGCTGACTGGCTGCGCTAGTTCGTTTATCTTTCTTCTTCCAACGTGGAGGGAGAGAAATAAACTCGGAACTGACGTCAGTAAAGATCAGGCCTTTTATCACGAGTGGTTTCTACACTTAGCAGCCTATCCTGTAAACGGTAACGGTATCGCTACGTTGCTTTGCGCAGATTTTCTATGGTGTATTATATCTGCGCAAAAAAAAAGCATGTAATGGTGTCGTTAACGTTTGTAGAATAGGCCTCTTAGATCCAGCAAAAGGAAGAACCAATTGATATTAAGAATCACAGCGTTCGCCAGCTGCTTTTTCTGTTGAAGGCCACTATTAAGTTGTTCCGAGCTCAAAAATTTACAGCTACAATTTGGCCAGCTTGTTTAAAGTTTCGGGATTATGCCTCAAGGCAGCGCCAGACGCGGTTATCAGAAAAAATCGTCGCAGTTTAGAGCTCGGAGCAAAAGGCTAAAGGCTCACTCTACATTGTAGACCGAGTCTGAGCGGATTTAGGATGATCTTGAATGAGTGCTTTCCATTTAGTGACACAAGTGGACGCAAGTGCCGTTTTCTACCCGCTACCCGTTGAATGCCAAGAAAAATCGAACGTTTGCGTCGACTTGCGCTATTAAACGGAAAGCAACCAATAAGATTGGATCCCTAGATTGGTATTCATGGTCCAATCGTATGATCACAGTCTTGAGCAATTTTAAGACTATCCAACCAATGGAATGACTGTACAGCATCTGGAGATTGCACCTAAGACGATCTTGAATATGAGATCAGGCTACAAATACGAGGCTACGAAACCAATGTATAAGTACATCATTGAATTCAGATTCGAATATATAGATACGTACGGACAATTGTTATCGTTTGTGACCATCAGCATTCTCTCTCGCGCATCGCGATGTCGAAGCGACTGATAGGGAATTCGGCAGACGTGACTCTTGTTTTACCTGGGACTGTTATCACTCATTTCCACCAATGTAAATGAACTTTAGTCTTGGTTTAAATTACTTTTTCCAATTCTTGGAACTGGAAAAAGATCGAAAGCAAACTGAGCCGAGATCAAAGCTGATCTGACACTGATGGAAATGGACGTACGAGTGACCTGGTCTTAACTCCAATTAATTTAATCAACGACCAACTGCATGGCTAATCGACTAATCTCCCTTTCCGTATATTAAGTAATTAACTATTCTATCCGTGTCAATAAAATTGTGTAAACTGAGGTAATTATTGATTAAGTTAATCCAAATCGTAAGAATGACTCTTATAAGTTGCCAGAAGTAATTAAAAAAACTCACAAATCAATTTAGTATCGCCAGTAATATAAAACCAATGATACGTAGTTTTTCAAAACGACCTACACTGGCCAATGTTTTTATTTAAAAAACAAAAGGCGTTTCGGTCCCGAATTTGGACTCTTTTCAAGTAATCTGCAAACGTACATAACTTAATACTAAATTTTTTAAAAAATGTAGCGAAAGTAAATTGCAAATCTATACCTTTTCACACAATTACTATTGTGTGAAATTAAAAAACTTCAGAAGATTGCTTGACCATGTCCGGCAAATTTTCATGCTCAAAATCACGACGTTTCGACCAATGTTTGTGGTCCTCCTCAAGTGATCTAGCAGAGAAATTACAAGAGTTGTTACACAAGTGAGATGACAAATGAGTAAATAAACAAGTTAAATAAATTATGGTCGGAGGTATAAAAATTGAGAAGTAAAGTATGATTGGCGAGTTGACGGAAGTAAAAGGATTAAGAAGTAAAATCGTAAGAGTGTCCGCCTCGACCACGTTCTGATTAGCTTAAGGAGGAAGGTGGAATTGCAAGAGATCACAGGACAAAAATATCTATTTTTACCACCTTTACTTTTTCTGTCACTGCACCGACATACTTAAATTGTCTCTTCTCTATCCTTTTCCTTACATAATCGGCCGCCGCTCGATCAGTTTTCTAACCACGAACTTTCCAAATTTTAATTACAGTTTGAAAAGGTGATCGGTGTTTGTGTCATCTTGATCAGCTGCACTTTTGGATAAAATTACGCAATTGAGTAATCACATCACACCCCCACACCCCCCCCCCCACACACACACACATATACATACATACATACATACATACGTATCAGTCAATTTGTTCCCCGATTGGTCAACAGTTAATTGCCACTCGGTCGAAACCAGACCCTAAATGGTAAAGTGTAATACAAGCCTCTTGATTAACAAAGCCCCTCAACGTACGTTCTGTTTAAAAAGAGAAAACGCGATAACATCGACGTGGGGTACTTTATCGATTGTGATGTTTATGTTCTCTCATTGGGCGACTTCGTGCACGGTCCGGCCCTCAAGTAGCGCGAGCGACCGAGATTTCGCCTACGAGCCCCCGTCGAAATTGTACCGATTTATACATTGGTTTCGACTGCCAGGACCTGGGGGGGGGGGGAAGGAATCTCGGGGACGATTCTGTGGAATGCGCCGTGTACAGACGCGCGAGATATCGGTGCCGCGATATCGGCGCCGCCATATCGCGCTCGTACGCGCGACTCCGTGAGTCGCGCGTGAGAATAATGGGGTGTAATCGCGTTTACTCACAACTGATCCGAATCCGAGACAGGCCCTCGTTAATGCACGCGAACACGGCCACCGTGCACGCGTACACCGCGCGCTCGTACGGAATCAAGCTCGCGCGTCGAACGCCGCGAATACACCGCGTCGCATATTGCATCGACTGATCTGCGGGTTCACTCTGAAGTTGCAGCGAGTCGACCGCACTGACAATTCTCGCGACAGTGCTGCTAACGGCGCGCGGCTAATCAGAGTCCGGACATGCGGTTATCCAGTTCTGATTGGTTCGCCATGTTTAGTCAAATTCAACAAGAGAGAGAGAGAGAGAGAGAGAGAGAGAGAGAGAGAGAGAAGTACGAATATCTCACTCTCTCTTTAGTCCCAGTCTACAATAGAGATTTAAGCCCTAAGCCTAAGTCCCAGTCTACAATAGATGATTTAAGCCCTAAGCTTTAAGAAATTGGCCAATCACGGTCAAGTATGAGAAGAATGCGCAACTGTGATTAGTCAATTTCTTAAGGCTTAGGGCTTAAATCTCTATTGTAGACTGGGACTTAAGAAATTGACTAATCACAGTCGCGCATTCTTCTCATACTTGACCGTGATTGGCAAATTTCTTAAAGCTTAGGGCTTAAATCATCTATTGTAGACTGGGACTTAAGCTGCCATCAGATCCAGACGTTTAATCTAAAATATAACCGCACTTCGCACGAAGTTTGATAATAGTGTGAGTTTGCTGTTTATTGCAAAAATGGGTGGATGTGCAGCACCATTTTGCAATGACACCTCGACAAAGGGACACGCATCAAAATGATCAAAATCAATCGCGATAACCTGTCATTTGTGAAACTATAAAAGTGGATTAAAATTGTGGATTCAAAAGTTGAAAAGTGTGAAAATCATAAACACGGCGAACCAATCAGAAGCTGGACAACCGCATATCCGGACTCTGATTAGAGGGTCTCTAGAAAAAAGTATCCCTCTCTCTCTCTCTCTCTCTCTCTCTCTCTCTCTCTCTCTCTCTCTCTCTCTCTCACTCGTTAGATTTGACCAAACATGGCGGACAACTCTGTTGGCCAGAATCTGATTAGATGGTCTCTATTCTACACCTAGGGATGATCCTACTTGTGGCTTATCCGAGTGAGTAAAGCGGGGAGCACACACTTTTACATAAGTGCATAAGCATATACATAACGAATTTGATTGGTCTATAAGCAAATGCATAAAGAAATGGACCAATCAAATTCGTTATGCATATGTTTATGCACTTATGCAAGTGTGTGCTCCACGTTTAAATAAATGGGCAAAGATCGTCATATTGAGACCGTTTACGGTCTCGGATGCCATTTCTACGTAAGAAGACGGTTAAAAATCATAGTGAAATCATACAAAAACCATATTTATTATGACAGTCATACTAAAATGCCCGTGTAAACTTCTCAACTCGGATGAGGCACAGGTAGAATCATCCCTAGGGCCGGTATTCGTAGTCAAATCTTATATTCAAGACCGTCTTAAAAGTATCTTTAGATGCTCCATAGCCAATGAAATGTTCCACACAGCATCTTTAGATAAATTCAAGACGGTCTTGAATAGAAGATCCGACCGAAGATAGAACTTACAATTAGATTCGATCAAATTAAGGCGATCCCGAATGCGATTACACCCCTGAGAATCGCGAGCGCGGCGAGCGCGAGACGAGGCGTCGTGAGTGTCGTGACGTGCTGCAGTCGGCGCTCGGCTCCATCGTGAAAGATGGCTTTGCTCGCGAGAAACATCTGCAAGGCGCTCTCCCAGGTAAACGGTCAACGCTCCTCCGTCGCTCCGCACGTCTCCGAAATTCCGTCGCGTGCACCAGCGAGACGCGGCAGAAACGCGTAAGCCTCTGTCGCGACAGCAGCGCGAATAACGCAAATAGCTTTTGGTCAGCGCGGTGAGGACGGTCGCCGAGGCACCGCGCGTTCAGGTGTCTTTATACCGTGATATTTTTATCCGAGATGCATCCGCGTGTCAAAAGCGCAGGCCTCGCGCCTCGATGCAGCCCGAACGCGGCTCCGCCACGCCTGGCCAAACGCACGAATTGGTGCACGTCGCTCGAGACGAACGCCCGCGCCCGCGTGCTCGCTTATCGCGTTATTTAATCGGAGTAGCCTTATTATTCGTCGAAAAAGAGCGATAAATTGGCCCTGGTTACGCAAGAAGAAGCTGATCGTCGATGAGAAGCGCGGCGAGCCGAGCGGGGCTGGAGATTGATGAACTTGAATTTATTACAAGGATTAATCCTGTCCGTTTCCTGGAAAAAAAATCGTCACACTTGAGAGACGGAAGTGAATTACTCTGAATTCTTTATGTAACTAAATTCCTTAGAACTAATTATATTCGTATGTTTAAGGTTCTGATGCATTTTTATTTAGAGTATCAGAGGAAAGTCCTCTTTTACGAGAGATAGCGCAGCCGTTGGTCCCACCATGGATTTATTGCCCTTGGAGTGAAGTCCGTTTAGTGGGAAATTGATCCTGTAATCGTTGCGAAAAAAGATTTGCGGTCGAATTTGGACGTTGAAAACCCACTATCTCGCATTAGAATTTCATCCCATGATAGAGAACCTTCCTCTATATCTGAAATGTGTCACATCTATGTGTGTGTTCCCTTTAGCTCAACGGCTGTGCTGGTTCAGAGCTTATCTCTCTCCCTGCGACGTGGAGGGAGGGAGGGAGATAAACTCTGAACTGGCGCAACCGGATTGGCTACGAAAAACAGACCTTGCGTCTTATTTATGGTAAATTGCAAATTTCAGTGAGTTTAATAGATTCAAATTTCCTGCTTTTGTGTTTGCAGACCGCTCAGAAGAACACAGTCAGGGCTTTGCACGTGGGAGCAGTAAGGCAGCAAGAATCGGTGAGTGCCACTTGTTCTCCAATTGGTGTAATCAGGCTCGTTCACGACCGCTTGCTTCTTTCAGGCAGTCGAACAGGAAGGGAAGTTGAAATGTACCCTGATACCGGGAGACGGCGTCGGGCCGGAGCTCGTGGTTGCCGTTCAAAGTGTTTTCAAGGCCGCAGACGTCCCGGTTGAATTCGAGCCTTACTTCCTGTCGGAAGTGAATCCCACGCTGAGTGCACCTCTGGATCAAGTCTCGAACAGTATCGCTAGGAACCGAGTTTGCCTAAAGGTCCAATTGCATACCTTCTAAAACCAGCTATGGTTGTGTTCCAAAATTCACTGGCAGCGTTTGAAAATCTACAACATGCGTTACGTGCACTATAGATTTTCAGCGCTGGCAGTGAATTTTGGAACACAGCCTATGTAATATACTCGATGCTTTCATTCAGTATATACATGGTGTGACTAAAGAATAGGGCTGAACTTTGGGGAAACGTTACACGTAGAGAATGAGAAGGTGCTATATGAATATAGGTCTGGAAATGCTCGGTACACGTTTATATAACATGTTTTCATGTGTAAGGAATGTTTCGCTAAAGTTTGACCGCTGGTTGCTGTCTGTATACAGATTGTGAGATACGCAGTTCGACGTTTGTAGCTGAAACATTTAGTTTAAAATATATAAAATATACAACTTGTTCTATCAGAGAAAGCAAATTATGAATGTTGGCTGAAAGGTGACAGTAACAACTTTGTAACTTGACGTAACTGTATGTTACTTCGTACAGGGGATCCTGGCCACTCCAGATCACTCCATGACGGGAGAACTGCAGACGTTGAACATGAAGCTACGTAAGAGCCTGGACCTATATTCGAATGTGGTGCACGTGAAATCATTGCCGGGCATCAAGTCACGTCACCAGAACGTGGACTGCGTCATCATCAGAGAGCAAACGGAGGGGGAGTATTCCGCGTTGGAGCACGAGTCTGTCAAAGGGGTGGTCGAGTGTCTGAAGATCGTGACTGCCACTAAGAGCCAAAGAATCGCGAAATTCGCCTTCGACTATGCCGTGAAGAATAACCGCAAGAAAGTCACGTGTGTTCACAAGGCTAACATAATGAAGCTCGGCGACGGACTCTTCCTCAGATCGTGCCAAGAAATTGCCAAAATGTACCCGAGGTACTCGGATAGTTTGCTCGATTGCCTTTGATAAATATTCATCGTGAAATTATTGCTCGATACACTTTGTATTCTTGTTTCGTAACAGGATTACATTCGAGACGATGATCGTCGACAATTGCACCATGCAGATGGTCTCGAATCCACATCAGTTCGACGTTATGGTAATGCCGAACTTGTACGGAAATATTGTGGATAATCTCGCGTCCGGCTTGGTCGGCGGTGCCGGAGTCGTCGCAGGTGCCAGTTACAGCGCCGAGTGTGTCGTCTTTGAACCGGTAATCTCATTTTGTTTATGCAAGCTAAAAGTAAATGCACAATGTAATCTCCGGAACTTGACTCGCGTCCGTTTGATAACGCAAGTTATTAGAATTTGTATCTTCCAACAGGGTGCGAGGCACACGTACTCTGAGGCGGTCGGCAAGAACGTTGCGAATCCGACCGCGATGTTGCTGTGCGCTGTGAAGCTTCTGAACCACTCGAATCTCAAACGTTACGGCGAGCAGATCCGGGAAGCGCTGAACCGTGTGCTGAACGACGGAAAGGTGCTCACGAAGGATCTAGGCGGACAGAGCTCGTCGACGGACTTCACCGCCGCTGTGATAAACAGCCTGCGCTAACAACGAAACGCCTGTGTAACATAGGAGGGCCTAGATCTTGCGTCTCGCAAACTGATTTCTATCTGGAACAGTTGTGCGAATCGTAGTGCCCGCACCTGTTGTAGGGTATATTAACTCATACACGTTTTGAAATTTGTAAAGCTGTAAATCTCATTTTAGAAAATTGTTATGATGCAGACGTCTATTTGCAGCAGCAACCTTTTCTGTACGTTCTACGAACAGAAAGAGATCCAAAGTTTTTGCGCAATCGCTCGGACGCAGAAATGCAACTGCGATGCGCGAACTGCGTGATTTTAGCTAATGTATAATAAATAGGCAAAATTGTACCATATCTATACATAATAAATTATGCTACCTTGTACAATCCTATTAGAACGTCACGTGCACTCTTTATTTCACGTAGCAAAAAGTAACGATATAGACTTATCCTCAGATTTTGGAACAATCCTTTAAATTTAGACAAAATGATGAAATCATGAACGACGGCGCGTGTCGTTCAGCGATCATTACACGTGTTCGTTGACAGCGTGGCATCAGCTGATCGGAGGTCTTCGCCCGGGCATATCGCACGTATGTACGCCGTGCAAACGAGAAATACCATAAGAGCGGAGTAACTCGCATTGCCAATGGATCCCGACAATTACGCAGTGGAGTTGATACGTCAAGACATCGTTAAATATCAGCTTCAAGTGAACGCTTTAATACAAGTAAATACGAATCGTCGCGGTGCATAGAATATAACCTAATTTCAATGTTGATCCACAGCAAGTTTACGTTGACGAGAAATACATCGCGAATCAGATAGGTCCGATGGTCTGCGTTTAATGAATCTCTTTATCGCCAAGGACATACATCAATGCAGTGGACCGCTGGAGATGCTGTACGAGCTCAACGCGGAGGGCAGAGCCAAGATAGCGGACCTGAAACTCTCCATAGAGCACCTGGCGTCCGTTGCCGCGACCGAGGCGGACGGGAAGAAGCGGGCCGAGCTTCTGTCCGCCGTGGACAGTTACAAGGACCAGCTCAACACCTCCCTGGCGGCGTTCCGCAAGGCCAACGTTATCAGCGCGTGTGTCATCGACAAGCGGGCGAGGGAGGATCTCTTCTCCATGCCGGAGGAGCAGCAAAACGCCCTTCGTAGGCGGCACGACAAGCAGAGCTTGACGAACGCGTCCAGCCAAGTGACGGACAAGCTGCTCAGCATCTCCAGGCACCTGGCCGAAACGACTCAGAGAGGCGCCGACACGCTCGGCACCCTGCGTACGTATTCTGTCTCATTGCTGGTCGACGAGTGGCGCAATTGTACGGATCGTTATTGTTTCAGTGACCTCGTCCGACAAGGTCGGCAACACCAAGGACGAGCTGGAACATCAACAACAGGCTATAGTGCAGTCGGGGAAGCTGTTAGGGAAATACGGTAGACGAGAAGTCACCGACAAGGCACTGGTCGCGCTGGCATTTGCCTTCTTCCTCGCTTGTGTATTTTACATCCTGCAGAAAAGATTGTTCTGAGCATGTATAAAGTGTCTAAGACGTTAAATTGTTCGCATAATGTAAATGCATCTTGTTATACGGGGACGAGGGGAGAGGAAATAATGTGATATATTACGTGTGCTCTTCGGGATAAAGGGGTGAACTTTTATAAATATTTTAATAACTTTATGTGCAAGTTATTCTCATTAAGCTCTTAAGATTATTCTCATTCCATCACCAGATATTGTTAAATAAGAATAACTGGTTGTATATAATAGCATCCTGTAAAAAATAGAATTTATGAAATTTCAACATATACATATGTACATTTTTATATTCGCCGTAATTAAAGTAGATTCTTGTTGTACTGAAATTTAACGTTAGAAGGCAATAACGAGAGACTACAAATTTTTAATAATTTATCAATATCGATAATGTCATTCTCTCTTTATACCAAAATTTAAATGCTCATACTTTCAAGATAAAAGTAAAAAAGAAACGCGAAAAATCAGTTTTGCTGTCTTGTGAAAATTTGTACATTCGTGATTTTGGTATAAGGAGGACGGTATAAAATTTGTAGCCTAGTTGTAGAAAAATTTGATAAGAAATTTCATTGAACAAGGATCCTCCTAGCGTTAAATAACGAATAACGTTATTCTCACACAGTGGGATATTCCCGTACATTTTTACAACTGCTCACAAATTCCTCCATCGAGATCAAGCCGTCTCTATCCGTGTCCATCTTTTCAAAGAACCTGTCCACCTGTTTGTCAACCACGGACTGGATAGTCTGCGTATTCTGCACCATCTCGTAAATCGCGGATATTATGACCAACATCTCCTGCCTCGTGATACAACCATCGCCATTCAGATCGTAGAACCTGACAAGCAATAAATAAGAGAATATTTCGCGTACTGTAGTCTTGACCTCGTTCATGATCATCAATTCAGCGAACAGAACCGACTTAAAAAATGAATTAAAAGTCGGCTACTCTTAAGATTCTATCAATTCTCTCAATCCAAAAAGATATGTGGAACATGCATGGAAATATGCTTTCCAATCTCCGCTGAATAATTAAACCTGCTCATAAAATTATGTCTACAACTTTCTCCAAATTTATCAGAGAAATTATTAATAATAGGAACATTGAGGACGAGATAAACTCTCACCCGAATATCCAGGAAAGCTTCTGGTCCACGTTACCATTGACGATCAATGTCATGGCTCCGAGAAGATCGCTGAAGCTGATTACGCCGTCGCCGTCCCGGTCGAAGCTGTTGAACACGATCTGCGCGTACCTGGCCGGGTCGCCAAGCGGAAACAGCTTGGAATACGCGGGTTTCAAGTCGCCGGACGTCGCGCATCCTCTGGGGCACAGCTGCTTGAAGGCGCGATACAGTTTGCGAATCTCGTCCTTGGAAAATCCGGTGCGACAGGTCAAGGTGGACAGTTGCTCGGGGAAAATGTATAACGAATGTTTATCGTCCTCCTGGATGCTTTCTGCGAAAACGCAATGAAATTATACAGTGATACTGTACTCGGTAAATTTATCAAAACATCCTGAATTTATTTATTCGAAATAATTTTAGAACTTTCAAGCTTTTCATTCTAAAACTGGAGATTCTTTGTTCTTCCAAGAATAAAAGCTGTAACAGTTATAATAATGGTACACTTCGGAGGATTCTTTCTGCTTTTATAATTAACGCCAACTGTGCATTATCATTCGCAAGTTACAAATTATTCACTTTAGTCTCTTGCGTTCTCTTTTTCTCCCTTCTATTTTCAAAAATCTAATAATGAAATTAATAATCGTTGCAATCATTTGGATAATTTTATCCTTGGCTCTGTCATTAAAAATTACTGTATGGTTCTATTTATAAAATTACTTAATTGTGCACATTATGTTCTTATTATCTATCTAATTTATTAAATATCTAATTTAATCGAACAATTTGGCTAATTAAGTGGCGATTTCAAGCGTTAGAAAAACTAGACCAGGACGAAGCTTCATCGCTCAAATCGGGATATCATTACCGGTAATTCTTTTGAAGCTTTTTCTCATTTTCTTCAGGCTGCGCTGCATCTTTACGGAGAGACTGGGTCGGCGAAGAGACTCGCAATTACCCTTGCCGTCGGCGCTGCCGTGATTTGACATTCGAAGGGACTTCGACGGACACACGTGAGGTCGGATTAAGCTTGACAATGATCGACGCTCCTCAGCGAACCGTCGAGCGGCACGAAACTGACGCACGTGGTGCAGTCGACTGCACGGAGCAGTTTTGATGAAGTCTGCAGTAGCCAAAATATTTAGACGATTTACCACGGCATGTCTGCAAATCCCAACAAGAAGTGACGTACGAGCGCATATTCGCACGGACGTTTTTAGGCGCGTCGGACGTCTCTATCCGCCGGATCGTCTCTCCAACGGGCATTTCTGTTTTCCTGGAACACAGTAACGATGTTAGTTTACTCTCTTGTAATGTTTCATCTCTTGTAACGTAATTGTAATCGCTTACGTTTACCTGCGGTTTTAAGCTTCTAAGCGACGCCGCGACGCCTACGTTTATCTTATGTTCGAATCCTTGAATTTGCCAGGTATCACTGTCGCAATAATTGAGCGAGACTGGCTTGACCCGACCCGAGTTCCAGCGTCAGATCTGGCGGATTCGAGATGGATTCTCAAAAGAACAAAGGAAAGGGGATAGGAGTCGTAAACGCCTCTTCGAGAGAGCATTTCTGGAATTTCGAAAGGTTCGCGAGGATGAGGCGGGAGAGAATACAGAAGCTTTCGCGCAAAGCGATTCGATCGCGAAAGTGTTGAAAACTTTATCCACCCACAAACTCGGCTTGAATCACTGAACGAAGGCGAGCTTCTTAAATAGCTTCACCATCGCACATGCCTTCCGCGTTTATCACGTACGGCGCCGAGCTTGTATACTCAAACGCAATACGTGTACATAAGCGCGTACATACAATTTTACAAGTCTAAACAAAGAGAATCTTCTCTTAAAATTTACCCTGAAAATCATGTGATTGTAGGACGACATGGCATTTTGAAGACCTTTAGGAGAGTTTTTAAATTTTATCATACATTCTACTATAGTAACATGTATGGTCAAATTTTTAAAAAATCGTAAAATTCTTTGAAATGCCGTGTTGTTCCAAGATAGCCAGTGTGAGCACAAGTTGCTTTCATATTGCTAACAAAAATGTTAGCATCTCGCTATGCAACTATGTCGTCTACTGTGCTGTTGTTTGCTAGCATTTGATGTCGGAAATGAAACATTTGCATGATTCAAATATTATACCAGCATTAAGTGCTCGGCCAGATGTAATAGATCTAATATGTTTATATCTGTTAGAAAACTGAAAACAATGCTAACCCTTTGTTAACAGTATGCGCCATTCAACGTGTTCTCTCTTTAGCTGTACACTTAACTACGACAATATGACAACATTATGCTAGCTGCACTTAAATCGCTCAAACGTTGAATTAATATTCCTAGCGAAGAGCTACGTATGGAAATAAAATGCTACCATCGGTTGCTAGCGTTTTATTTCCATACATTGCTTGAGCGTACTGGCTATCTGGGATACAAGTACACGATTTTCGGGATAAATTTTAAGAAAAAGTGCTCTCCGTGTAGCATTGTGACTCCAAATGAAATTTCATGAAGCGGACTGATAAAAAAAGTCGCTCGTCCATCGCGAGCGACTGTGTGCGAAATAGACAGACTTTCTCTGCCAAACGCTATTAATAGTCGGGTGGATTGGAAACCGACTATTACGGTAATAGGAAGTCGGCAGAGCTAATCGAGGCCCCGATTACTCAACGGTCCATAATTCGAAAGCTCGTTGGCGGATCCCGCGGGAGAATCCCGTCAAGTGTAAGGACAGTCTCGCGACCTTTGCAGCCGCGTGAAGCGATCGGCCTCGTCGTCTGGCAATTATATTTACACGTACTCGATAAACGGGCCCGTCAGCTCGCAGCGATTTCCTTCCAAGGCGATCCGAGTTATTTATTTATGTATAACCCAGTTCTTTTTTACGCGACGTACAGTCCGGTGTTACGTGACTAAAGATTGATCAGCAGTAGTCGGTTTCCTGTAAAAAGTTGCGTGCAATGTGAATGAGATTGAGAAAGACTTGGGCGTAAGATGACGAAAACGAGCGGTAAAATGTACCGTATCCACCGCAAGAGCTTATTTGCACCGACGTGGATTGATGCTAATTGCGCGCAGTAAATTGTCTCCTTCCAAGTGAGATCGCAAGCTGAAAGAAAAAACATCGGATTACCAAATACTGCATCAATGAACCGATTAAAGTAACGATTGTAGCTACTAACTCCGTTTCTCTGAAATTCCGGCGGTGAATTGAATTTGAATTCAATTTCCTTTCAAATCGTCACGTCGTCCAAGCGATTGGACGTAGCTTGGATAATAAAATGATACAAAAGGTAATGCGTATGTTCCGAGATGACAAGCGTTTTGCTTACACAGGGAGAATTTTCTCTTAAAATTCACCTTAGAAATCATGTGACCGTGGGACAACGTGGCATTTTGAAAAACTCGAGAGTTTTTCTGAAATTTTACCATACACCTTACTAGTAAAATGTATACTAAAGTATAATTACTTGCAAAATGTATGGTAAAATTTCAAAAACTGTCATAAAATTTTTCCAAGTGCCGTGTTGTTCTACGATTACATGATTTTAAGGGAAAATTCTCTCGGTGTACTCTCTAAAAGTCAATTAGTGACTATTTTCAGTGATAATCCACTGATTGACTTTTACAGAGTAAAAAGATATTAAATGAACGAGGAAACAGCCCAATAAGCGAGGGAAAGGTCAAAGGGCAACTCGCGCTCTGGTTCGCGCGATCGGTCTTGCGGCGCGGAAAGTGTGTCAAGTTTGCCGATAAGATAATCCGCGTCTTCGGCGTATCGGTGTCCTTGGCACGATATTCGGATGTGGAGCAGCTGCCAATAAAGTTGGGCGCCAGCGCGGAAGAGCCGGACGCGAGGATATGGAGTGTATCTCGCGCGCGGATCGCCGCTATAATGTGGGTCGCGCGATTCTTTTCGCAATCCCGGCGGAAAGACGCACGCCACGAAATCCAGCCGAAATGTCCGGTGCACTTGACGTATGAGTGCACGCAACGACATGCAAGCACGTGCCGGCGCGTTGCGTATGCAAAATTATTGTTTTATGCCGAGCGCCGGATTTCGCGGACAGGTCTACGCCGAAAGCGCGGTCCATGAATTAAACATCGAATGCTAATCCAGAGGAACCGTAAACCGATCTTGATCGTAATCGCGACGCGGTCGGCCGTTTCTGTGTCTTCCGAGCGTTACTTGGCGCACGGGGAGCTCCTTCCTTTTTCTTCCTGTACCTCGAGGAGTCACGTGAAAATATCATTAGCATAGGACGTAGCGGCATACCGGGCAAATGAGTAATTACGATGGTATCGGTATCTCATACATCTCCCTCGTATTCCCCGCAAACGATATTGCGTGCGCGGAATACGCGAGCGGGGGAGCGAACGAAGAGAACTACGAATGTTGCATATAAATCGCTATAAACAACGGCCAGGACGGTGAGAAAGGGCCTTCCCCAAGTTCAGAAGCGCGCAGAGCCGGTGCGTCACTTTGTCAGCACGTGCACGAATCCCAAATCGAGGAGATGATCGTCAAGAGACGGCACTCGCTGATGGAATATGAAATCTCGATCGCAGTCTCCTTACAGGAAAAACATGAAGGATCTGGGAATCGTCTATCGATGTGATTCAATGCCTCGATCATGAATGTAAGTAAAAAAACTCGGGGATCTGTAATGCAAAATGTCATAAAACAGATTGTGTGTTTGGATATTTAAATTTAAAATGCTTAATATTCTTCAGAACAGGTGATACTAAGAGAACGAAAAAAGAAATTTCGGAGCATAAAAATCTACGATTGAAGAAACTTGCGAAACGACATAAAAATCTACGATTGAAGATTAAGCGACTGAAGAAACTGAAGATTAAATATCTTGTGGTTCAATACAATTGATTTTGTAGATCTGTTTAATTAGTAATTCAATTGTGATTCCAAATTACATACCGCTTATGTAAATTGTGAATCTAGATTCTTTTCGCGTTGTTTTTATGGCTCCTCTCTTTGATTTATACATAATATAATCATGAAATCACCGCTGCAGGCTCTTACTAAAGTCGATCGAATACGTACGCGCTCGGTGTCCCGAGATCCTTCATCAAAAGGCAGCGCAGATTCACCATTTAACCGCGCATTTTTCCGAGCGGTAGGGCGGTAAGCCAGTGGTATATAAAACAGCGGTAAGCATCCAGCATCTCTCCATTGCGGTAGTGTACTTGTTCCAGTTGCCTGCGATTAGGCACAAGACTCAATTGTTATATCCACGCTCCATTAACATTTCGCAGGGGTGATAGCGATTATTCTTCCGTTGGAGAACGATTGGAGAACAAAGATGACAACGCGATTAGCGTGGACGAGTGTTTCCAGGAAGGATGTCGCATAGCTGTTAATCCCAACGGCTCAGGAAGCGTGAAAGCCACGATAAGAAAACATTGAGCCCGTGACGCAATGATGTTTTCATTATACGGTTTTTTGGTGCGTGAACGCGCGTTATCCGTTTTTAATCCACTTTGGTGCACTGCTACGTGCGCCGCGACACTTGTCAGAAGTGATAAAATCGAGCAGTTGATTCCAATAGAACTTTCATTCTTCATTTTGCAGGACATTCACTTGGTGCCGCTATAGATTCTGTGTTATCACGGATGCCAGGGAGATCGAAGGAAACTGAGTGATGTAAGAACAATAACAAGTCTTTTCAATTACTTCAATTACGTAATACTCGTTTCAGTTATAATGAGGAACAACTTAAGGAAACTAAGCAAAGTCAAGCCAATCCCGAGAGTAATCTGTAAATAAACCAGAAAATTTTGCCTCTTCTAGAATAATTTCCATAAAACTCTGCTTTAGAAATTTACTTAAGAAATCAATGGACCTTTCCATAGAGATACATATTGTATTTTTATAAAAATGTCAAGTTTAAAAGTTAATAATTCAAAATATCAAGTTTCCAATCTTCCGGCTTTAGCTTTAGACATTTTTTAAGTTTTTAGTTTGGAAATTAAAATGCAATGCTAGACGCGAATATACACAGTGCAAAGCCGAACGATTTTGAACACAAGGGTCCGAAATATTTACTTATTAAAAATAGAAAATAATTTTCTCTCTCCTTTCAGTCACAAGAAATATCATTACGAGATTATGACCGGAGTGTCCAAAAGAAACAACTAAAATGAAGTTAATCATCCTGCTGTTACTGCTGGTCAGTTCTGTTCTCTGTATACCTTGGCTCGATTTGTGGTTCCCTCAGCAGCCCTCGTACAATCGAAATACCGGATACTATGCAAACGGCTATCGTCAAGGTAGAGGTGGTAAGGAGCGCTGGAGACAGATCTGCAGGACTATAAATCCAGATGCGTACGCGTTTCCGGGACGTGTGCCTTATCCCGCCGCGCCTGTTTGTCCGTGGTGAGGGAAATTCTCGATCGAGCTCTCAATCTGTCGTGCCAAACGAGAACGTGTCGTGCGTTCAAAATATGAATTTATTGTAACAACGTAGCTTTTTAGACAATATACGTCCACCGGTTATGAGTATTTCAGTCAATGTAATTGCGTGTACGTATGCGTCCGTGTGTGACAATACTAGCAAACTAGCGTACATAAATATTCGTGATTACACATAGCTACTTACGCGCTCATCATGTAAGGTACGAAGCGAGAAGATAATTGTTCGCGTTGCATCCTTCGTACATGAATTTTATTACTTCTCGCTTCTCGGTCCGTATTCGCATGTGTGCTAAATTTAAAAAAAAGAAGAAAAACGCGACTACGAAATTTATCGCATTGCAGAAAGTGACTTTGTATCGGAGTGAAAAAAATTCATCGGTATGGATAATCCAAGGAATAAAGCTAAAAAAAATACAACTAAGAGCTGTAAAAATGTGGCTTACAGGTCACTTTTACTGCAAAGTCACTTCATTGATGCAACTTTGTTAAATTTATAGTGCGCGTACGGATCCGCTAAATATTTGCTAACTTAGATACAATTATCTCAAAGGTTTATCTATCGATCTGTGTAACATCGACATTCTAAACTCATCACATATGTCTAATATATCATTAATACTCAGAACTCTCTCTTTCTTTCTCTCATTTTTTCTTTTTCTTACATATAAAAATAAGTTATATACAATATATATATATATATATGTTATCATGTAAGTTTACGTTCAAGTTTTTAAAAAAATGCACGCCTCCATAACGCAATTATAATCATCGGTAGTCTTGAACATTATGTATATTACATACTCTTATGTACAGTCCAGGATCACAGAGTTCGTACAGCACGGTGTTGTGCGTACGTTGATGCTTGGTTTAAGGACGTTCATCGGCAATTCGATTTTCTATGCATTTGCTTCAAATTTGGACCATGTACAATTAATAGTGTTATCTATATGCCCGCTCAATTTTTAAAACCGTGTCCGTACCGAAGTCAAGATATTCAATATCAAAATTACTCTCATGGTATAGGCGAAACATGTTCTACAGGGATATTTTAATTTATTGTGATAGAAAATGTTTATGTATTTTTGCTAAAAATACTAATTTATGATGCATAATGATATTAGGAATGATATATATTACAAGATAGGGATACGTAGTCATACCGTTTATGTGTAATTGTAATCCGGAATTTTCCATCTGACGATATTTCAAAGCGTGTCGGCCAATACAGTCACAAAGGCAACATTGTTCGATCTTCGTTTTTAACAAACCGTGCTAATGTATACATGTAAGACGCAGAGCTGCGTTAATTGTGTAGTGTGTATAATTTACGCTAAAAGTCGTGTCGCTGTACGGAAAGAAAACCAAATGTGGGCGAAAACTTTTGGCTACGATTACAGCCGATGAACGTCCTTAGGCCTGTTATACAATACGTCGTTTGTCGCGATATCCGACAGCGACAAGCGACGTATTGTATAACAGGTCTAAGAAAGTAACAAGAATCGTCTTAATTATCCAAGCAAATTAAACAATATAAATACGGCTTAAATTTAAATACAATCGAGAGAGTTGTATTGGTCTATAGTTAATCTATAAAATTATATTTAGAGAAACACGATTTTCAATTGTTTTAAAATGATATAAACGTGAACAAAAATCTGGAAACAAACATACATCTGTAGATTTAGTTTTGCTTTTGCACAGTGAGATAAGTATGATACCATCGTAACTTCGTAACAATCGCAATGAGACCTGTCGTCGATGATAATCACGGAATTGTTAAAAAAATATGATTGGTAGTTTTTGCCGAAACGGGACATTGTGGTATCACAGTTACACCACATCCCAATTTCCCCGACCGTCCTTAAATAAATTATACTACGATCACTGTCCGGCATTGCTGGATAATTTACCTGAAGAAATCTAGAATAACTTATCCCTTACTTGGATCACAATGTTTTCGTTATTACTGAGGAGAAATTCCGCATTGCACTGATAAAATCCTTTGTCGTCCACGCGAGGAACTGTGAAATCATATTCAGGAGCGAGAAGAACAATCATTTCCAGACCTGTATCAGGCCGTCCGTGCTGCCGGTGAGAATGCAGGTGTTCGACATGGCCACGGCGGAGATCGTGTCGTGCTGGCCGGAGGGTGGAGTCTCGGGGCCGCTCTCCTCCATGTTTCTTCCTCTCGCATCACTTCCGGACAACGGATTAGAATCGTCGTCCACCAATACTTCTTGCACGACGTTCGTTCCGTCGATTAAACGTAAACTGTAAGCAACGAAACAATATCACACGTCATGACGCAAGAATACGATAAATATATACAACGACATGATGAAGTTTATATTCAATTGATCACTGACTCGTATGCCAATGAATTTGGAGTGAGTACATCGTTAGCAGCGGGTAGAGCGACATAGGATACGGTAGGTCTATTGAAGTCCCAGAAGCGTAAACGCATATCGGTTCCGCCAGCCAGAAGGAAGCCCGAGCAATCGATGCATCCGGCGTACATAGCGCATACAGTGTGACCAGTTTGAGTACGGCTCAACGGTGGAGCATTCGATGCCCACAGAACCATCTGTCGATGATCGGTCTCCAGATTCCACATGGAGATCTCGTTGTTACCTTGCACCGCCGAGATTATCCACGAATGCTCCATTGGATGCGTAATCACCTTTCGCACTCTGGCACCTAAAGTTCGATAACAATGGAAAGCATTTGGAGTTGTATCACTTGTATCAAGCAATGGAAAATAACATCGGTGAGCTAATCTACCTGTTGGATGCTTGATACTCGTTATCGGCAATTGAAACCTCAAGTCCCAACAGATATGGAAACCCGAGCTCGTGCCGATGGTTAACCACTGCTGATGACTGTTTACGCAAAACGATGTGATGACTCCATGCTTCAAATCGTTTTCCAAACGCCACGTTGTGCCGGGACACCGTAGATCCCAACCTACCAGTGACCCATACAACGAGGCGTACACGAGAACCGATTGCGAGCCGGAATCTAGATACTGAAGGTCGACTGCGCATCCTTCTTCCTGTTACATTAATCACGAGCAACGTGTCCTTAATATTCCTTTATATTAAATTTTTATATTGTTGTGAAAATCTCTAATCACCTGGAGATCCAATTGACGAGTGCCGATCAGGCTCATTTTACTAGAATTCGGCTCAATCCGAAGTACGAACACCGTTCCAGACGTGCTCGCCGAGCTCGCTAAAGATTGCCCTTGGTCGCATACGGTTAAGCCAACCAGCGGACCTCCTCTGTGCATGTACGTTTGCCTGTAAAGTACAATATAAAAAAATAGTTACTCGAAGTGTAGCTCGAAGTCTTAAATAAAAAGAAAATGATATGATAAATTAGTTAAAGCATCAACGTGTAGTTGTTCTGGAAGAGAAGGACAGTACCTAGAACGATTAGCGATATTTCGTCCCTCCATCTTACTGGCGTCCCAAATCTTAATGCATCCGTCGGAGGAACTACTCGCGAACAGGCTGGTATCCGGTATTGAAACCAGTCTGTTCACCGCAGCTCGGTGCTCGTGAAGATGCGCGACGGGAATTCCTCGGGGCCTCCAATCCTTTGGCAGTGATGTGGAGCCTTTTAGCCAACATCAATAATGAATAAAGAAGCATATAATAATCATACAGCATGACGCAATCTGTACAAAGAGATTCAATTTTTATTTACCAGCTTCACAGGCGATGTTGTTGGCCCAACGCTTCGCTCTTAATACTGCTGCGTGTTGCTCCTGCTTTCGGTACGTTAACTGCCGCACTTCTAATCGGCAAGGCGCACACCTATCTGCAAAATCGTCACCATCATTTAATGTTTTTCTATAACTTTACGGAACACAAAAGTTATTAACAAATTGATCAAGTTCACAGAAAAAAAATTATTACTTTAATATTCATATTAATTTCGCTTACATTGTATGTAAGACCGCTCGTGAAGCGAATGATCGTTCATGAGAGAATTAATGCTCGTCATATCCGATAGGCAATGATGCGGAGAGAGATGGATGTCTCCGCTGTGTATGCTCTGGCTGGGGCTGCCACTGCTCCCGGTCATGTCTGACATTTTAACGATGGCGTGCTGTTGCAATATAAAAATAATTATTGCAAACAATACAATTAGCATAACGATGCAGAAAGAATTTTCAAGCCCAGTTCTTCATTTTCTGGTTAACCAGACGTTAGTCGATTCTCTGTCTCTTCTTAGATAATAACATAGAAAAAGATAGAGAGTCAACTAACTTCTGGTTAACAGTTAACCAGAAAATGAAAAACCGGGCTTCAATCATTTTATTGTGATACCTGAGTGTTATCTTGAGCTGCAAACATCGTGCGCCATTCTTGATTCATTGTTGCGTACGTGCTAACCGTCTCCGATGTTCTTCGATCCAATCTTTTGAAGGGCGGCAGAGTTAAGTCTCCCTTAGTATCGGGATACAACACGACGACGTGGTGTCTTATCCTATCCTTCACAGGACTTAGCTCCAGTTTGCCATCCACGGACTTGATAGCGTTTTGCTTCGAGTCCGCGGAATTGCGATACTTGTTGATCTTCATCAAGTGTGGTTTCATGATCAGCAACTGATTCTCAACTGCCTCGGTCATCGATTCCGAACTCAGTCGTCTGAAAAGCTAGAAAGGAATATCTCCGTGAATCTTTTTGAATTGAATTTTTTTTATGCTTACATGCACGCTGAATATGCAGTGCAACATCATCTCATATTTGCATTTTGAAATTTTACTTATTTGCAATACGACAGAATTTTTCCTGCAATGTTATCTAGAAAATCAGACATATGCTAATTTAATCAATGTCACATACATTTTTTAAGGAAGTACTCATGTCGTTGTATTGTGGCGATACAACACCCGTTATGGCTTTCGCCCTGGCTGCCTGCCTGTGTTCAAGTACTTGGAATAATTCCTCGACATCATTATATTTCACCACGGAATCGTACACTATTCTGGATATCGACGGGACAAGTGCCTCGAGCAATAAAATCTCTTTTTCTATTTGGATCAATGAGTGCTTTAGATATGGTTGGAGCATTGTCTGAACTTTACATTGGACATCCACCACATTCAGAGTTCTCGCCGCCGCAGATATAAAACCGACTGTTGCATGACGTATCCAAAGATTTGGGTGAACCTACAAGAAATTAGTCACATTAATACGCAAAGTGTGTCTCCCAATTCAAGTCTTCTTTAATAAAAATTTTAAAGTCTTTTTAAATTTGTTAATTTTCATCATTAAGTATCTAATTGTTTTAAATCGCATTTTATTATTTTACAAAAAGAAGAAATCATTTTAAACATTCTATAAAAAAAATTTATTAAAATCCTCAAGCTTCAATTTCGCTGATTTGTCAAAATAAGAAAATATTCGTTCTAAACTTATAAAAGAACCTGTTAATGTTCTACTTTAAATTATTACGTATCAAAGATTTATCAAATGTGCTATCATGACGATAACATACCAAGAAGACCATAGTTTCTGATAATAACTGATACAGAGCAGATTTATGTAATAGACCCAATTCTGTAAGAGTTGCCATGGCATTTATGGCCTTTGTGGTTACAAATTCTTCAGGATCGGATAGTCCTTGCTGCAGAAGCGGCATTAGTATAGGACTACTGTGCCAACCGACGTACGCAGCCACACCGACGATGCATTCAAAAAAAGAGCCTCTCAGTTCCTTATCCTCTTTGTCGTTTAAGAACGTGATAACATGGCTGAGCAAAATATCATTAGCTTTCTGTTTTCCGAAGAACACGCACAATTTGTTTATTCCGTTCTCCATTAACGTCTGTTTCACCAAATTTTGGGGATCCGTTAATAGCATAGACACCGACTGTTGAACCTAAATGAAAGATACGAGGAGCATTATTAGATGATCGACAGTGCTTTCAGCTCTTTTTTTAATTTAAACGACAAAAACATCGGCGAAAATTATGCCGTTTCACTCTTTCTTTATAAAACGTAGAAAACAGCTATACCATTTCATGCAAGGTTTGCAGTTCGCTGTCGTAACTGGGCTTTGGTCCCTCTTTGTTGCCCAAGTTAGACAGATGAGCATTTTCCAAATAACGCAAGGCGATGTGTGCCAAATATGCAATATTCTCTGCATAAGCTGCCCTAACAATAACTGCCTCATCTTGAGTTATGTGCGCTAAGCCTGGCAGAATGTACTCAGGGAATATGTTTACGTCCGAGGATGGTATCGATTTCACAAGATGTAAACACTTCGTTAGAGTGTGTATCGCTGATACTCTTACCCGCGGCGCCGGATCGTGAACCAAATGGAACTAGAAAAAAATATTTTAAAGATATTAACAATAATTAATAATATAACAGAATTGCAATTAATTCATCAAATTTTTTAGCAGTTTCGCTCAATGAATATAAATTCATATAAAATGTTAATTTTTGTATGGCTGAAAGTTTTCACGAAAAATTGGCATTTTGATGACTTACGATGTAAGGTAATATTCTATCGAGAATTGTCTCGTCAGAAACATTTTCAGCCAGTTCCAATAAGATCTCCAAGCTGTGCAGTTTAGACTGTGAGTGATGCAATCCTCTTATACAAGATGTAACGAGCTGAGTTATAATAACGAGTCCTTCTAGAATCTCACTCGAGGTAGAAATTGATTTCTTGGACTCTGCGTCGCACGCCTTGCGATCTTCGGACGATTTCATCTCCGATTCTGTGTCCACTTGAATGTCACTGCCAACATCTTGCGGTGTGCTTTTCATATCAGTTTGATTTAAATCGGTCTTATCGGAGCTCTGATCGCTGTCGACTTCCACCATCGTATTCTCCTCGCTGTGGCCGGAATCGTCCTTGATCGACTCCACATTACTCTCGCATTGGCCAGATTTCGCGGCTTCCGCGGGTTTTATCTCGCTCGTTTTCATCCGTTCACTTTCCTCCGTCTTTAGTATACTTATAATATTACCAATGTCCTTCTTCAATCGCGTTATCTTCTCGTCCGGCGATAAGATCGGAGCGGCAGAGAAAATGAGCATGTAAGACTGTAGGAAGGAATAAAAGTATTCCGGGAAGATGGTGCCGCGAGTCTGAGCCAAATAGATCTCTGCGCTCTGCCTGTTTGCCGGATTTCTCTCCAGCATTGAACTAAGCAGCTCGCGTATCCCTGGATCGTCTATACTGTCCAAGTGCTTGCTCACAGAATATTCGTTGTTTCTGTACGCTGAAATATATTAACGCCGCATTAACAGAGCTTTCGTGTGCAAGGCCGACTCTCACTTCCACTTTACTTCGTACCCACTTTTCGTTCAACAGAGAAAAAACAATAAAAATGTCATATACCTACCCAAGAGTTGCGAAAAATCGAACGGCGGATGTCCTTCGTTATACAATTCCGTTAAAGCACAACCTGCGGAAAAGATGTCCATCATGGGATGCAGATCGCCCGTCTTTACTTCCTGTTCCGGTAACAGCAACGTGTTGCTCAATTCTGAAGATAGTGTTTTCACGAAACGTTCAGGCGCTATGTAACAGGTTCTAGAAAAAGATATTAAATGGAGACGCGAGTCCATCGAGATAAAAGGAAAGTGAGCGACTTTAGTAAAGAGTTTACCTTCTCCTGGAGGTATCAAAAAAGTATGAAAAATCTGCGGGATTGTCCTCTGGCAAATACGTCGGCTTAAAACTAGCAAAATCCGTGAGTAGTACCCAGTTCCAACTGGTTATCATAATATTTTCTAATTTTATGTCACCGTGGCAAACACCAAACTGTAGAAAAGAGAAAACATCCGCCTTGAAGAATCATCATCAGCAACAATGCGCCTCTTCTTATTCAAATAAGCCAGAAATTATAAACTGAGAGAAGTCACTTTAGCGAAAATAGATAACTTGAACAATTCTCTTTGCGGCATGCTACTTTCAACAACAGCTAGTCCCCCTTTTTCAAAATGACTCGCACACGTTCACTGTACCTTGTGGGCTTGATTAAGTGCGTACAACACTTGGAAAGTGATCCACTTTTTCTCGATGCTTGTCAAAAATGGCCTGGTGCTGATCCTGTCATAAAGAGAATATTTCACATATTCCCGCATTATTGAGCCCGCTTTTTCTGTGAGCTGATCCAAGCATACAATTAATACCAGTCGCGCTCAAACGAGCAATACATATGTGAACGGCGTTGTTGCGATGCTTACAATCATTCGTTGAAACGGTAGGCAGTTGACAGCCGAGGCCAGCTTGGACCTGATCTCCTCCAGCTTGTCCTTGTAAGTGGATAATGGCAATGTCGGGTCGTGAATCGCGAACACTTTCACGACTATCAGGCCCTCCAGACTGCGGGCCCGGGCCACTTTGAAGAATCTGGTACTTCCTAAACTGCGGACAGCAAAGAATTTCGCAAATCAACGACTCGAATCCGCAATGTGGCATCACTTCGCGATTAATCGGTCCTAAACGATATTCCCAGCATTTTCACAAATATCGTAGACCTTCGCACGTGCGTACGTATGTCAATTATTGATCTGTTATTCGTGACATTCTTATCGATATCAATCGTGCGAGGACCGCTTCAAGAACCTCGCGCAGACACATAAATGCGACGCGTGTGTTACTCTCGCCGGTATCACTCGCGAGCGTAAGAAATGTCGCGAGGAACCGACGGGCTGTTTTTATCATCGAGCACGCGGCACGACGGCACCCTTGACAGCACTCGACTCGCGGAGGAATACGTACACACGCGCGCGCAAGGTGGAGCGATTCTCGATCGGGTTACTCACTTCACGTCAAATAATAAATCATTGTGATCCGTTAAATAGTGCTCTACCGGGAATATTTGGCTGGGCGCGATGCCCACTAATTGATTGCCCATTCTTGCTACCAGGACGAGGAGTTTCAGATAAAACCGATGCGCTCACTCGCGGCGTCCATCTTTCCCCATCCGATTTTTCGCATCTGTTCGCAATTTCGCATCTTACGGACGGCAGTGCGACCAACCGCAGAGTCCGGGACGAGTTAGGTTCCCTCGCGATCTCCGCCGACAAAAATTAAAATCGATCATTTCTAACTTTTCGAGTGTATTTCGCTTGTCACGGGAAAGTTGAAAACAGACAAATTTTCATAATTTTACAATGTCGGCAAGGCTCGCGAAGATGTTCTTTGCGCTCGAGTTATTTTTATGTAGGCAAGCCTGACTGGCGCGCAAATTTGAAACACGAATGTATTTCGAGCGCCGTATCTGCGTATTCTTACGTCTCGCTAATGCCGACGGTGCTTCAACTTTGAAGAAGCGTAACTCCGAAAGTTCTCGTCGAGAGAGAGTAAGAAATGTCCTGACAGCAGTTATACTGGGTGCTTTCCAGCAAGAGAGACAGATTGACACAGTGCAACACAGAGAATTATTTGTCCTCGTTTAATACTGGTAAACAACAAAGATAAAACGATTCACTCTGGGTGCTTTCCAGCAAGAGACACAGATTCGCATAGTGTAATACAGATAATTATTTATCCTTGTTTAATAATGGCAAACAACAAAGATAAAACGATTCACTGTGTTGCACAGTGCCGCCTGTGTACGATGCTATTTTTCCCGCTGGATCGCTTGCAATGTAATAAATTACTATCATTGCACCACTCAGCACTTAGGATTTCTAGTAATTTGCTAAATCGCAAGCAATCCAGCGGGTAAAATAGCGTCGTCTGCAGCGGGCTGTACGCAGCGTCGCCTGTACACGTTGCTGGAACGCATCCAAGAATATGTAATAAAACACAGGTGTTTTTAAAAGACTCAATGTGATCTTTTTCTCGGATACTCACCATCAGTCCAGGATCTAATTAATATGTCCACCTAATAGACTGTTTGGTGTTCAATAATTTTTGTGTTTAATATATTTCTCTAAAATGTTTCATCTTCGATATACCTTGCCTGCGATTTTTGAACATTCTCAACATGTGGTCGTTTCATTTGAGAGCAACTTGGAGAGCACACAATATATTTTATAAAGCTGAGTCTGAGGCCTGGTTTCATCAAGTTGCTTAGCTTAATTCATTCGTTGTCTCTTTCTAACTGTTACTTTAGAAAGAAACAAACGTGAATTTAACTAAGATTGAAGTTAAACGACGTTTGGTGAAACCGGGCCCGAGTGGCTCGGGTTAAACTCCGATTAACTTGAGCGATGATTAATTGAACTCACAAAATTGTTCAAAGGAAAATCTCTACGTCAAACAATGAAAACAGTAATATTTGAACACTAATCATCGATCGAGATCATCGGAATTTGGCGATTGATGTTTTAATGTTATATATGTTACGATTCTTCATACCGAGTAAAAAAACTGATATAAATTGCGTAGTTTATAATAATTTTTTGATTATTCAACTTCAAAACAATATGTTTTAAATATATTACACTGGTAAAAATTGCGAATGATAATTTGCAACATCTTGTAAAATAACATTAATAACATTATTATTAATAAGAATTATCAAAAGAATTAACAATCTGGTTGGTAAGATTGTAATGTCCAAGCCTCAATACAGATTCCATGCCACCGAACATTATTGTGGTTTGGTAGCTGTCTATTGCGAATATTGGCTTGATTACCTTGAAGCTTCCCATTACCTAAAAAATAACAAATGAAATTGAATGTCAGAACTAACTTTTATCCCACATCTACTCGAATATTATATACATATTTTATATGTATCTGCTTTATTTTAAAATATATTATCCTTTGAATTCTATGTCTAAAAACAATTGTTACATAAACGATTATTTTACTATAAATTTTAAGAATATTCTTAATATAAATTTGTTATTCATGCGTTTCTTAAAATGAATTAAGAATATTTATTCCATTTTATTAATGTTTAATTATCTTAATTTTCTAGTTCCGCAATCACCTGAATTTATAATATTACAAAAGATTGACCGCAAACCTTCTTTTCCCTTAAACTGATCACTTCAACTAGGCCAGTACCGGAACCTCCAGCCAGGATGAGATCGCCATAAGGATCCTCGTTGAGATATTGCACTACGTAGAGAAACTCGCCGTTCAAAGTCGACGGTCTGTTATACGGATTTATTGTTTCGATGAGTTTCGCGCTCGTCAGATCCCACACTTGTAGACTATCGCGCACTATCCATGAGCCTGTAAGGATGTGCGTTTCCTAAACGTGATACGCAAAAGTGCATATTATAACGTACAACGTGTTGATAATCAGACATCAAATCACGCAAATATGCAATAAAAGTATTCTTACATGCGTGTCGATAGCGTCACCGCATATATGGGGGCCTCTAATAATCCTCACTGAACCGGTTGGGACTCTGATATCCCAAATCTAAAGAATGATTGTCTTTCAACATAGTTTCCCCATTGTTAATTTAAATTTAAAAAGTATTTAACTTATACACTATATTCTCGTATATATTTACAAATGTTTATGAATGTTTATATACAGATAAAAATATACCAAATTTAAAATGTCAGTGTTTACATTTAAAGAAATTTTTAATACTATTAATATTATTTTTTATTTACTCTAACGGTGTCGTCCCAGCCACCAGTTAGAATTAAATCGGGATACTCTTTGTGAAATCTTGCGACAAATATTCTCATTCGATGAAAGTTTATGGCTTTACTTTCTGTCAGAGATTCTTCCTTTCTTTTGTACATTAATATCAACTGAAATATATTTTATAAGATATTAGACTATAATTTTATGAAATAATTATTTAATAATAATGTTTAATAATGCTAACTTTAGTGGTGTGTATATTGTAAAGTCGAACAGCTGCGTCCTTACCGCCGGAAACCAAGTAATCTCCGGCGATACTAACATCAATCGTATTCACCTCGTTCTTCGGTTCTGCATAGACAAGTGCAAATAGAAAAAGAATACCACGTACGATGTAATTGAAAATCGTTTGCCTTATACCGAATATAAATTTGGAAAATTCTTTCGTATGCGTGTTGCACATAAAAATGATTCCACAGGCACTGGAAGCATAGAAGATTTCGCTGCGGGCCGGATTAAACCTGCAACACATGATTGGCATGGAACTTTCTAAATCAGACTTGAGCGTTCCTTCTAACTCGCCAGTCTCGCCGTTTCGTATCTACAAAATATGTGTGATAAGAGGCAAAAATCACACGGTGTCCTGTGCAAACTGTAACAAATCGGGATGCAAACCTGGATATTGCCACTTCCAAAACCGACGGCTATAATTTTGCCGGTTTCAGAATAACGCGCGCTGTAGAGACCACGCAAGTTTGCGGCCAAGCGTACTTCATGTGTTATCCGACAACGATTTTTGACGCTCTGACGCATCGGACTTGGCAGCCAAGAGTGTCGCTGTAGAGATTCCGCTTGAAGAGCCCTTTTCTCTGCCAGAAAAGACTGCCGCAGTACATTCCATGACTTGTTTGTATCCTGTTTGTACAAAAGGGTGTTTTCATAAAAAGATATCAGAGTTTTTCATGTAACTATTTTTGTGCAAGTAATGTCCTATAATTCTTATAATGACGAAACTCTCAGCTGGATAGTAATCTTTATTGACTTGACTAATAAGTACTTATAGCTGCTTAGGATCCTCACCTTCTGCCTTTCTCTGTCTATGCGATTCTCTTCAAGAGATTTGAATAGAAATGTCGTGAAATCAGAATAGAAAATTATATGAATCAGCGTGTAAGTATCTGACTACAAACTATGCAATTGAGAAAATGGAAACACAAATATAAAGAAAGTATTTTAAATGATATTAATATTAGAAATATGTAAATATTATAAGAAATTGTTTTACAATAAATATTATAGAATAAAATAATAAAAATGTCTTGAACATAAGAAAATAAAAAATTAAACAACCATTGGAAACCTTCATTATTAGATTATCCAGAAGATTCGCGTTTGTGATTTCGCTGGTTTCTGGATCTGGCAGAATTCATGTTTCCCTCAATTCTAAATTTTATACCAAAAGTACCTCTAATTTTTTGTCAAGTACCTTCACCCGGTGTAAAAAATCCGCGTCATTAGATTTTGACAGACTGTCAATATTGGCGCTCTTTTGTCTCGCTGAACCATGTTTACATACCGTTTTCGCTCGGCTGATTCCAGCGCCTTGCGCCCATTTTCATTTTTGGTACTATTCCGCTACATCCATTTCAAGCACTGCCGATAACGTTCTAAAATACGCCCATTTTTCAAGCCGAGCGAAAACGGTGTCAAGTGAAACGCTAGCGTGGCCGCTCTCAGGTTTTGGAAGTTACGAAAGTGACAAAAGTGAGCGAATACTAAAATATTTATAATTTCTACTTGTGAACTCGCTTACTTTTACGGGCTTAAGAGGATCCCGTAGCAGTTCTGTATTACCGACAGAATTACCATTTTCGTAATTATAACCTTTCGTCGTATTAAATTCATGGAATCAAAAATGCTTGCGTACAATGACAGTATATGCATTGATAATCCCAGGAAACTCCAATTTTATACAAAAAATGAGTAAAAATTACAAAATTCATATAATCGATCACATATAACCTTGTAGACGCGAACTGTCACTCCATCATACTTGTGCTTCGTATAAAAGTTCTACAACTTGTACTCACATGAAACTGAGTTTCCTAGGATTCGATGACATGTAGAATTACTGTGAAACCCTCTAAATTAGGATTAGAGGTTTAAAATAAGAGTATAGTTAGTATGAAATTTTCGCGTTTATGTATGGGTGTGATGTATCGTAGTAGTGTGTCCGTGTGCTCATGTATGCTGCGTTTCGTGTTTAGATGGCGCACACCATCAAAGGCTGGGGGATCCTCTTAAGCCCGTATCAGACTACAGATTGAGATTGGGATTAGATTGAAACATAGAGCTATTACAGATAGAGGGAGGGAGTCAACGAAGGACGCGATATAGCTGTAGAAAGAGAACGCTGCAATAGAGGCCGGTGTGTCATTGTCTCATAGCGCATGCGTATTAGGTACTGCGTGCGCCTAACTGCACTAGTTCAGAGTGTATCTTTCTCTTTCCACATGCTTTTATAAGAAAGAAAGAGACACACTCTGCCCACAGTATAACCAGT